GTCAAGCATAACCTTCAGTAGAATGAATGACCACTTATTTTGCCACACATCGATGTAACCTATCGCACCAACCATATACCTATGGCACCAATTCTTTGATGCACCCCTATAAATGTGGTGTTTAGGTCAACCACACTCATACGACACCACCCATGATAAACCATAGCATGGTAGCATTTGAACGATTTGGTCACCTCGCAACTCAAGTCATTTTGGCCTCTTCATGGTCAACCCTCTAAGTGTGGCCCTCTAGCCAACCACCTTTGTGTTGGCACCTTAATGCTTATTATCTTGAACTCAAACTTATACTCTTATATCTTATAGGCTTCACACCTTGTCTTAATTTCGTAAGAAATCACACATCTTCCTAACTTTTACTTGAACTCAACTCAACTTTACATGCAACCATGTCTCCATGATGGTTCCATAACTCATCCTCAAAGGGCCAACTTAAGGCTCACACAAAACTCCAAGATCCATTTTACTACTCTAAGCACCAAGTCCTTTGACTTGTTTAAACTCATCCAGTCTACTAATCAAATGCAATTTGATTGCCAGTACCATTGACTTACTCAACTTGATTGGTTTTTTGACCTAGACAAGTTGTAAGGCCTTATCAACTACCTGACTCCTGCTATTTTGCTTTACAAACTAAACACAATCGTGGTTCACTATCCACCACACCCATAAAGCCTTCTCTCTCGACCAACATAAGCATCGTCCACTGACCATCACAAACTCAAGGCTTCAATCCTTAGCCAAGTTATATTCCTCCATCTTTATAGAATCACTCTATGCTTGGACCCAAATACTTGGCTCGTACCCTTGCTAGGACATCTGCACCACACAATAAGTGCACTTATTTTAGTAATTAATCTCAATAAGCTCATCTCAAATCCCTCAAGACCAGACACATCTTGGTCGACATGACCTTGCTTAACATCATTCCATGGTCTATGCCTCTTTCATATTTTGGTCTCATCTATTCTCCACCACTCAATGGGCATCGCATGTCTGCACGAGCCAATGCCATTCACTAGGTGAGGCTAAACTCTCATGCTCTTTCACTTGGCATCCAAATGCCTATTCAATGGCCTTACACTAAAGCTAATTTTCTTATAGAACATATTGATGGCTCCTTCTTGAGCCCACATAGCCATTTTATCACATTCTCAACCTGATAGCTTTATTTGAGCTTTGTACCATTTCAATATATCGTTAACATGCTCGTACCTGAGGCCAATTTAGTCCCATAATTGAGCCAAACTAGGTACTGATACAATATGTCATGGGACACGTGTTATTTAGATAGAAACCATATGTATATTGGCACCAAGATTACTCTTAGTTGAGGTTAAACCTCTTATGAGTCCCTTTTTCCATGGACAAATCATTTTTTAATCCTTCAAATGCATACTGGTGAACCCTTCTTGCCTCAAGCCACATAGGGTCATATGCACATTCCCAAACTTAATAAGGAAGAACCTAACTCCCATCACAATTCTTAGTCCATGAAATTTAGGGTAGCCCTATGCACCTATCTCTGCCTATATGCATCAAGATCTAGAGTAGTGACCTACTTTACTCATAAGGGCACATGGCCCTATTCTTATGATTTTATCTTATTATGGCCTAGTAAGAACCCAACACCATGCCAGCCTATATCGTACTTTGAACCCAAAGGCATAACATAAATATTGGTCAATAGTCAGCTCAAAGCCACACTAGGTTTATCTCATCCCATGAAATTCATATCTTAGGGCCTTAGCCTTTAACTTCATTCTAGGCTGCCTACCTATATGATGGGCACCTTACGTCATGCTTATCCCACCTTAAGAGAATCTAGTGTGCTATCCTAGCTACATCACACATTTATCAATTGGCCTTAAGGGTCTAGTAGTGTGCTTCCCTACTAGCCCACTCATCCTTTAAGATCAATGGTGCCTTCTACACAAACACCATCTCATGATCCTTGGTTACTCATCAAATTAGCTTAAGGAGAAGAAATCGAGGGGCATAGTAAACGCTAACATCTAACTTATGGTTTAATGTAATGGCATGATACGAGGCCTACTAGCCCTAATCATCTTCAGGTTTACAATGATTTGAGGAGACATCGTGCCACACTCATAACCTAATAATGCCCCTTCAATTATACACCATATATGAATTGTAGCTCATTTTAGAGTAGCCAAGCCTTCATCTGCATCCTAGCCAAAAGGGGTGAAGAGCCAACACCATTGTCTGCCTATAAAGAGTATAAGATATTTCCCAACCATCTGACCAAAAGACCAAAAGCCATAAGACTATCTGAAATGGGGACATTTTTTTCCCTAACCATCTCAAGGCCTTTCTTCAACCAACTCAAGGCCTAATGACCTATCTCCTAGCCACCATAATTTTAGCATTCCACTCGTTACTCCACCAACTCATTTAAAGATGCCTGTGCATGGCTTTGACCAATAGCATTCAATTAGCTACCTGCCTTTAAGGCACCTACCCATTAGCTCACACTTACCCATGCGTCTTGGGGCCTAGGGCTCACACCACCTACACACACTATCATTAACATGTTTTGGGGCTTACACTAGCCACGCATAGCTTTAGAAACACTATCTTGACCATAAGGCCTCATTCGTTGCTTAGCTCAGGGTCAATCATGGTAGGACCAAGGTAAACTAGGGCCTAACCATGACATAAGGGCACTGATGATTAAGGTGCGAGTGCACGATTAGACCCAAGTGGAAGACCCCTAAACATAGTCTTGGAAAGATCAGATTGAAGGCTTTTAGAAGTCCTAATATTGCAACAAAACTTTTGATAAGATAAAATTATGCTGAGCACTTGAGTTTCATATGCTGACTCGAGCATATTGAGTTAATTCCTTAACTAAGGACATACAAAGTTTGGCTTAAAACTAAAGCTTATGACACATACACTAAGAGTCATTTGATGTTGATAGAGCTTGAGGGGTGGACAAGTACCTTGGAAGGGATAGAAGAGTGATAGAAGGGTTATAGTACACATGCCACACCAAGTGTCAGCATTTGGTGATGGTGTTTGAGGTAATAACCTACACTAAAGGCTATCATGTGTCGATGATAGTTAATGCATGTGCCAAGACTAAGAGCTAATATGTCTTAATGGTGGTTGAAAGGGTCATTGAGAGTCGATGGTGGTCATGGCATGTGCATGTGTCATGATCTGCAAGCTGGTCTAGGACTAAAGGTACATTTTGAGTCAAGAAGCAGTTTCAGTTCTAGTAGGATAAGGTCGACAGCTAAGAAGACTAAGCCTTGAGGCATAATAGAGGCCCCAGTCATAGGGAGCTAGCCTAAAATAGTAGTACAAGTAGTGATCAAGACTTTAAATGCTTAGGACTAGTGTTTATGTTTGGTAGCATTGAGCAAGGCTAAGATGCAGGCACTAGTGAGCACTTATATGAATTTACAAGCCATAAAAATGGCATTAACTTGGTAGAAATATGAAGATGTACCTGAACCTACCTACTACTCAGTCATGGTATGTATGGTACATGGCCCTGACCTAGGATACCCGTATATGGTATATGGCCCAACATGTGTCGATGATGTTTAAGGGAATTACCTTCACAAACAACCAATATGTGTCAATGGTGGTTGAAAGCATGTACTGATAATGGTCGAAGTAACTACCACGACCAATGGTAGCACCCCTGCGCTTGGCATCATCAAACCTGTAATACCACCATAGAGGTGCAATGTCCATAAGATACATAGAGGTGGTGCTTACCTTAATAGCATCATCTTTGATGCCCAGTAC